CTCTTCCGTCGTTGTCGAAAGCTTATTTAAATGAGGTATAGGTAGTCGAGAGGACAAGAGAAATGGTCTGTCTTACTGGTTTCAGTGATTCTGTCAGTAAAACAGTGATACAGCAATATTCTGCATTAAAAGTAGTAAGTACAATATGGGAATCGGTGTTGCCTGGTAGTACACTCGCAAATAGCTGCTATGTGGAATTCTCCGTGAGGAAATCATCCTGTCTCTTTTGCAGATTGTTTATATTGCGAGGAGTCTTGTGACTCCATTTATTTTTAACTCAACTGAATGCTTGTTTGCTTTTATGAAGTGACAGTTTTAATGTCATTCTTCGTTAAAATTTCTTTTGAGGGAAGCAGTAGATGATCTAAGAAAAGCTAACTCATTACTTTTTTTTTTCTTGCAAATAAGTTTCAGGTTTTTTTCCACAGAATTTGGGTTTTCATTGATTTCTACAAAAGTGTCGGGGGAAAAACACTGAAGCATCTTTGGTGACTAATCAGGTAGTCTGCTGAACATACTGATTTTGTCTGAAGTAAAATTACATTCAGTATTTCTAAAGTGGCTTAGAGGAACAGCAACAAAATTTTGGTTTATAGTTGCTTCTCTGTCTCTAAGCCAAATGTGCTTTTTAAAATATCTCGGTTATTGAATCTGGGAAGGCTTTCTTCTCTTGCCTGGATGGTGCATATTTTAATTTGATGGTTTAAACCTTCTCAAATATTTTATTAATCAGACTGTGTCAGCTGTATTTTTTTCTAGAAGAGAAGGTCGTACAGAAGTTGATTTTATAGCTTGGGATCTTAATTTCAGTGCGTAAGCCATCTGAGGAACAATTTTTAATCTTTTGGATACCTTGAAGTTTAAAAAGGGTGCACTTTGGAGCCATGAGAGGGTAATACAGCAAGAGCAAGAAATCTAGGAATCTGTTTTGTATTCGAAATGCGGAACTAATTGTTAGTGCCTCTGAATTGCAGCGAATCGTTGCTGAGTTCAGAAGGGCATTTTGGGAGGCTGGCTGGCGGGGCTGGGTTTGAGCCTTGCGTTGAGTGACTTGCCACAGTTTGGCATAGCGAAATACCTGTTAGTGGAATCTAATTAGCTTTTCTCCATGTGTCCTGGCAGTAAGAAATACGTGAACTATAAGCATACTAATACACTTCTGCACAACTGCATTGACTGTTAACTTTGTTTTTCTGTGGCATAAAATTGTCCTCTGTGTGGCAAGGGGAAAGTAGGAACGTGCCCTTGTCTGCTGCCTTGATGTGTAAAGACCTGCAAGACAAGCCTAAAGGGTTTTCTAGCTTAAAATTTAAGACCTGTCTTTGACTCTGACTGGAAAAGCAATTAAATGGTTTGTGAGCTAAGTGTGAAAATTGAGTAATGGAGGAAAAGAAGGGTTAGTAGTCAATTTTTTAATGTTCTGCTATTGTTAAAATCCGTTTAATGTCAGTGACCAGCATTTTTGAGAGGGCGCCTCTGATCAAAGGTTTGGCATGAGTATTTGTAAGAATGAGACCGAACAATGTCTGTTGGAGGTGCTAGAATATTATCAAATGAAAACAGAAAATTAGAGTTGACGGTCTTTAATTCCTTTTTATTTTTTTTTAATGTGAAAGTTCTTTTGGGGTCGTGGGGGAAGGTTACAGTATAAAGAGCAAAAAATACCCAGACAGCCTGGTTCAAAAGGTCTTGGAAGTCACCTCTAATGATGATGCAATGATATAATTGGTTTGCATTACATTGTTCAAGTCATCATCTTTCTTCCACGTTCAAGCTTTTAGGTTGTGTGGACAGATGGCCAGTGTGAACCGGGCAGTAGGCTTATGTTAAGCTGTGAAGTGTGAAGCAGGATTCCACACCTGGGGTAATTCTGAAGCTGTTTGGCCTTTCCAGAGTTGAGGAAGCTATCTGTGTCTATCATGCTGTTTTTGGTCAAGCTTTTTATTGCTTTTCTTGCTGAGCTAACCCAACTGGAGTTTTAGAATAGGGCAAGAATCTGTCCAAGGGTAATCACAGCTGATTTAGTTTATGCTCCTGACTGGCTTGTTTCTTTTTCAGATCCCTTGCAGTTGGCAGTAAATCAGGCTACAAATTCTTCTCTCTTTCTTCTGTGGACAAATTAGAGCAGATCTACGAATGCAGTGAGTATCTTCTTTTATTCTTTTTGTTTTCTCCCCTCAGTGGGCTTAATTTGGGAAGAATAAGACATGTTTCATTTTTTCACAGGTTGTTGGAAATTGACATAAGAGGACCCTTAAGTATATGATGAAATATCACACAAATAGAAAATGATGATTGCTGGCAGGGTAAAACTATATACCAGTGTTCTGTGTTTAAATTTAGCTGGTATGTTGTGAAATTTGGTAGTAACTATGGTAAGAACTCTTTGCTTTTCTAATTTTATGTCCAGTAGCCAGGTTGTGTAGCAGCTGGGCATAAAAATAAAGCACATTTACTGATGTGAGAGAGCATCTCTTGGGTCTTTATACTGGCTGTTGGAGCAGGCAAGCCCTTTATCAAAAGTGTTTAATTTACCTTTATCAAAAAGCCAAAACCTTGGTTATCTTTTTTTAATCGCAATCTTTGCTGTTAAGAAGATACTTTTGACCATGCTAGCTGCAGGCCTACTCGTCCAAAAGGGTGAATAATCCAGATTCCTAGAACTTCTCAATACTGATCACAGTTGAGTAGGATATGAGGTGAAATGGAGGGAGGCTTGAGGGAGAAGTGGTATCCCCTGTTTTGCCAGCAGTTCATTGACTTCTCTTTTCCTGAGGTGCTAAGAAGTAAACTGAATGCTGTGCGTGAGTGTCCTCGCTTGCAAACTCCGTGTGAACAGATGGTGCCAATAGCTGTGATGTCAGCATTTGTAGTAGGATCCTGGTGTATCGCGCTATGCAACAGAACTGTCCTCACATTCCATTCCCAAAGGGAGCTGACCCTGTGGAAAATGGTGTGTCATTCAGATCACCTGTTGTCTGTGGTGGCGGCCTGATTCTGTATACAGTCAGTGGAGAGGATTAATTGGAGGGTTCAAATTAGGCACCTGTGGTCAGGTTAAATTGTGTTGCAGCTTCATCTGCCTCTGAGTCATGGTCTGGTTGTACTGGTTAGTCAGTGGCTTGAATTGTATTTTATGCCGTTGAGTTTAGATACCTGACCTCTATAGTATGTTAGGCATTCGTAGTATCTGACCTGGTATCACCCCAGGAGGCTTGGTGAAGATGATTCCTGTTATGCTAAATAAACATACTGAGAGAGAGACTGAACTGAGCTTTGCAGGACTGCTGCTTCTAGGTAGTCCTTGGAAGAAAAGTACAGATTGGATAAAGCATCTTGCTCAAAATCTTGCAATAAACTGATAAAGCAGCTGGGATTAGAATTTAGATCTGCAGATTCCAATCTTGTCTTCAGGCTGTTCTGGGTTACCTATACTGGTTTAACCTCTTTGATACTGTAAGTTTTTATCCATGAGTATTAAGTCCAGAAGTACAGAGTGTAGAATGTGAGGTAACATTTAGTAGAAAATTTGATGGTTTGACCTGGGTAAGCCAGCCTGTCTGGACCTCTGCAGCATACCTAAATATCTGAGATCTTTATTTTATGTACACAGTTGAATTTTCAGTTTTGGGCTTGCAAACCATGCCTGTTTAAAACTCAAATTGGGGGGTGGAGGGCTTCATATGTGTTGGGTACCTCCTTTCTGCAAGGACCAGTGTTTTCAGGCCTCTAGGACATGTGCCTCCTGCCTCCCAGTTTAGTTCCAGTGGGTCTAAAGTCTTGTGTTGTTCTGAGTGAGCACTTTTAAGGACCCCTCCCTCTCTTCTGTAAGATTAATCTGCTAGTTCTTGTGTAGGTGTCTAAAGTAAACTACAAAATATGCCCCAGCTGTCTTGTGTTTGAGAGGACTGAAAAGAGTGGGAGGTTTCTTTGCTCCCATCACTGACTTGTGCTGTGACTGTACGTATCTCCTAACTCCCTGCTCAGTTGATCCCCCTGTAAAAATAAATATTAGATTGGAGGGTGCTTTAAGGCTTAACGAATGCTTATAACATGCTTCATGTTCTTGGATTGAAAATGAAATAAAAGCACAGCTGATCATAATCTAGCTGGTTCTAACCAGCTCTTGTCTGTGATGCTACATGCTTGTGTTTATGAAACTGTAATCTTGTTATGTATTTGCTTGTTCTCCTCTCATTGCTGATACTTCAACCGTTTTGCAGTTCAGAGTGAAGAAGTTCTTCCTCCTGTTCAGCTGGAACTTCCTCTGCTTCAGTTTGTGCCCGTTGCACCTTGTCCTGTCGTGGGCACCACTGAACAGAGAAGAACAAGAAGTTCTGTGTTTTGTTCTTACTGCATTTTGAATTGGAGTTTCTGGCAATGCTCACTTGTGTAGTATAAAGGAGAAAATACAAATAGGAAAAAAAGATTATTAAAAGCATTGCTGTAGGACTTAATCATAGGTTCAGAAGCACTAGTTAATTCAGTCAGCTGGATATAGGATGTGCAGTATAGCCTCGTACTCTGCTTGGGTGGTGGCTTGTCAGGAAGCATACATGACTTGACAGCTGTGAAGAGATTGTATTGCTTCCTGCTGTTAGGGGAGGACAAAGGGACAGAGGTGCATCCTATATTTTTAAATGCATTTAATTAAAAGCCAATCACAAAGCCTTTCTCCAAAGGTAACTGTCTGCATTACACTACAGGAAGTCTTCTTATGGCGAGACTGCAGGACCATCTATACTTTTTAAGCATTTTCCTTGTTGAAAGGGTGTTTTTTCCTTCTGTCTCTGACTGCTTAGTTCCTGACATTGCTTTTCCTTGTGCGCCTTCCCTCCTGCCCCACCTGCCTGAGTGCAGTGCAGGACAGCACTTTTTCCATCCGAATCTCTGCTGCTGTTCCTACTCTGAAATACCGTTTCTCCTGCCTGCCTGGGACAGTAACAAATCCCAGAAGCTGGATGGGGAAAGCAGCTGTGCTCACCCAGGAGCAGGGAGCAGTCAGACCCTGTTTTACGGGTCCCTGTGCGCTGGTCTTCTCACTGTTGTGAAAGGATGCCATCATTTAGAAGGGCTCCAGGCTCAGATGGAAAGCTGATAACCTGTACTGTAAAATATTTGAGAATCTTTTATGTTACTAATGTGGTTCAAGGAACGTGGACCTCTGCATTTGAAAGTCTGTGCATAGTTTATTGAAGCAGATTTTTGTATTTTTTTGATGTGTTGCGTGTAGCACCAGGAAAATGGAGAAAAATTCCTTGAAAACAAAGTCATTGCTAAAATGCATTATCCCTGTTTCAGAAGTGAGGAAATTGAATTTTCAAAGCCTCTGCGAGCTCTTTTGTCTTCTCTAGAAAAGATTAAATGGGAGAGATAAAAGAGAATTATGTTGCATAGAATACCGAAAATGCTTAGTATAAACCTCCTTCTTTTCCATAAGGAGGCTATTTCTCTCTCTCTCCCCCCCTCCCTCATAAGAATGCAGGGCATTAAATGTTTTCTGTTCTTTCTTGAGATAACTGCCTAGAAGAAGCCCTTTCAAAGCAGACATGTCACACAGTGATGACATTGTCATATGCTGAGAACGTTGGGCAGAACTTTTTTCAGGGAATTTCTGTCACTGGTGATGAGAACAGTGCCAGTTAGTTAATGTGTCTCTTGGACAAAACAGAAGCCTTCAGAAATAAGCTTTTTTAATTTTTTTTACCAGGCAGTTTTACGGTTTGGAATGTGTTAAGCATTGAGCTAATCCAGACACTGACTTCTGCAAAGTTTGGTTGCTTTGATGGATCAAGGCCAAAGGCACAAGTCTCTCTGTCGTGATTCAGTTCTGTAATGGAAGGGCAGATGTAGCCGGCAGCTATGGGAGAGCTGCAGAGAGTGGTAGAACTCTCTCCAGCTTTTTCCTGCTGTGAAAACTATGTCCACTACATCTCTGGGTCTTTTGGAGGGGAGCTTCAGGGGATGGGAGGGGGAAGCACACATACCACAGGGAAATGGCGGTAGGACTTGGACCCCTACCAGCTTGGTCCAGTGCTGTCCTACCAGCAGATGCCCTGAAAGTGCTGCTTTGCCAGAGATCCTGGACTCCCCTCCCTCCTGCTGCCTTCCCCGCATCTTGTATGGTGACTGGTGTTCCTCCTTTGCCTCCAGTGCTGCCTTGGTAGAACGCGTGACAAAAGTAACGCTGGTTTATGGCTATGCATATGGGCTTCGGTGATTCCTGTACAGATTGTTTTTAGGGACTGTCAGGTAAAAGATTGGGTGGGTGGGGGGCAGGGGCAGGAGGAAGCAGAACCCCACACCCTAATCAGTGGCTGAAATAGTCTTTATAACAAATGAGTTTACCGGCTTCTTTGAGTATGACAACCTTTCTTTCTTCATGGAGAGGTGTGCAGAAACTCCAGGGCTTTTGGTTGTCAAAAACCTTTCCATGCACAGTATAGCTTTGAAAACAAAACAAAAAAATACGCACACACAATAAACCCCCCAACAAATTTTCCTTTCTTAGGTTGCTGCAGAGGTAAGAGGAGATTGTAAGATTCTAGAATTTGACAATTTGCTGGTTTTTGTCTCTCTGGGATTTTTTTCTATTGGATCTTGGGCAGGGGGAGAAGACACTCTGTTTGAAGTGTAAACTTGCGTGACATGGGGAGGTGGGGGTAGGAGATATTTGTATATCAGCATTTAGTGTGTAGAATTTCTGCTTTAAAAACCTGTCCTGCATCCCACCTTGACTCTGAGCTGTTGTGGCAGAATGTTTATGGTGTTAGACTGTATTTTCTGAGGCAGTATATCCCATTGATGCGCATCACTGTTCTTCCCTGAAATCTCCCTCTGTGTTTTTCCCTCCTTACTGTGATTCCTTCAGCTGACACAGAAGATGTGTGCATCGTGGAGAGGCTGTTCTCCAGTAGTTTGGTGGCCATAGTTAGCCTTAAAGCTCCACGCAAGCTGAAAGTTTGTCACTTTAAGAAGGGGACAGAGATTTGCAACTACAGTTACTCCAACACCATCTTGGCTGTCAAACTCAATAGACAGGTGAGTAGTAATTTTGACTGGGTGAAAACACGGGAAGGGGTTGTGGATCTCATGCTGGTACTTCCTCTGCTGATTGATGTCTCTTCCTTTGGGGACAGAATTGCGATTTGAAATTAACTTGTGCTTTTCCAGCTGTAGCTTCTGTATGGCATCTCAGTATGCGTGTTTGGTTAAGTATTTTTGATTCTGTGTTTATGTATTTATTTAGGAAAATGGTCCCAGTAAGCTGGGCATGCTTTGAGCAGGAGGTTGGACTAGAGACCCCCTGAGGTCCCTTGCAATGTGAATCATCCTGTGGTCCTAAATGTGAAAGTATGTGAAGCTGACAATTTCCGTTCAGGCCAAAACTTAAAGTTGTTATCTGTTCACTTTTTATGTTCTGAAATAGTTTACTCAGTTCTTTTAAAAAAATAAAATCACTGAACTGGTGAAATTTTTGAGTTAAGTACCTGTAACCATAGTTTGCTCTATTACTAAATTATTAGTGGGCTTTTCTGCAAATACAGACTTCTCCATCTCTGACTAGTTCATTCAGAGTAGAGAGAATGGCATCTGAAGGAGAGTATCTTCTTCGTGTCTGTCCTCACCCTGAAAATCAGCTGTGGGAGGATGGGATTCTTGTTTAAAATCATAAGGGAAACAGTGGCTAATATGGTTTCTGGCATAGTGACATAGCATTAAATGGATAGCATCTTGTTAGTCATCCAGATGTAGTTTAGAAAGTGTAAATGGGATGATGAAGACAGTTTGGGGTTTGTTTTTTAAAAAAAAAAATAAGCCCCTCACAAACTATTATGAGTAAGTAGTAGTGTCTATAAATGGTTTAAAGTCTTGTACGTTTTTCTGTTTAGCCAAAGCAGAAATGATTTCCACATGTGAATTGGCCTCTTGCAAGGGGGAAGGGTGGAAATATATAAGAGCAGGTACAGAATAAGAATTAAATGGCTTTAAATGAAGGTTTCTGGCTTGCTGCCTTAAACTAGTAATGTAAATCATTTTCATTTAAATCAATTTGCACTAGCTGGTTGAGAGAAGTCAAGTGCACTGGTCAACTCAAGTGACCGAGTGTAGTATTGCGCTGTTGAAGCCTTGTCAAGAGGTGTATCTTGTGTGTCTTCTCTCAGACTCTTATTTCTTCCCATCAGGTGGGTACGACCTTTTCTCTATTGGAAGGTACCTACTGCATTTTGGATACATTTTTTTTTTTAGGATTGATAAGTTAATATAAACTCCAGTTTGATATCGGCATTTCGTCCTCTTTCCCATGTCTAGAGGCTGATAGTATGTCTGGAAGAGTCTCTTTATATACACAACATACGAGACATGAAGGTATTGCATACAATCAGGGAGACGCCTCCCAATCCTGCAGGTGAGTATCTTGTTAGAAGTAATGTAACTCTGAAAAGTGCATTCTGTGTCCCTGTGTGACATTTCCTACAGGGAACTGTAGCATTGTAAATTACCCTTTCCAATAAAAGTAACAATTAAATACGTGTCTTAAAGCCTACCCATTTAATCCAGGTGAGGTTTTTGAGAACAAATAGCAGGCTCTGCCTGAAACTGCGTCTTCCCAGTATTTTAGTCTCCTAGAGTGGGTGTGTTGAAATCTTAGAAAGAAATAGTAGATACAAACTGGATTTTGCCAGTGCTTGGTATAGTTAAAGGCTTTGTCAAGTTAATGCTTTAGGAGTCATGGCAGACATGGGAAATTCTACTGCTTAATCAGTTATTGTAGCTCTACTGGTATTCTTCCTTTTCTACTTTAACTTTAGTTAAACAGTTGACTGTGTTGCAGGTTGACTCTGAGATGACTCATCCTTGCTCTGTTTTTGTTGATACCTTGTGAGGATAACTGGAGTTATCTTTGTAATATTCAAACATAGAATCAGGAAGTTTTGCTGCAGAAGTCTTGGGATTTGCCTCTTTCTAATTCTGTTCCTGCATCCTTTCTAGGATTGTGTGCTTTATCAATAAACAATGATAACTGCTACCTGGCCTATCCAGGAAGTGCAACTATTGGAGAAGTACAAGTCTTTGACACCATCAATCTGGTAAGGATCTTTGTGAACGTTGTTCCTGCTTCGGAAGATGCAGTTTTTGGAAATGACTTAACTTGCTCTGAGGGGAATTACTAGACACTCGGGTTCCTCTACGTCAGTTTGCAGTATCTCTTATAGCTAGGCTTTACAGAACCTCGGCAAAGAAAATACAGGCGCTAATGTTAGATTTGATGAGTAGAGTTGGGCAAATGGGTGAAGCAAAGGAAAGTAATTTCTATTTGAATTGTCTTTTAATTATCCTTCTACTGCTTGTACTCTCTATGCGCACGCTTCAGTGATAATTTCATGTACTTTTACTTAGTTACTGAGACAAATATTGAAGCTGTTGTCCCTAAAGTAAGACCCATATTTGACTTGAATGCTCTTAAATATGCAGTCTTAAACTGCAAGCCTGTAGCTTTTAATCTGTACTGTACTAAGGTTATATTTTATTGATTCACTCCTGCAGAGAGCTGCTAATATGATCCCAGCTCATGATAGTCCCTTGGCTGCTTTGGCATTTGATGCAAGTGGTACTAAACTTGCCACTGCGTCGGAAAAGGTAAGGTGGCTTTTTACTGACTTGCCGACAGTGATAAAAATGAAATTTGTTTCTAAGTGTTTTAAGTAACTTTAAGCGTGCACAATTCCGCACACAAATGCCAAAAAAGAAGGCTTATGGTTATAATGGCAAATCTAAGTTAAGAACTGTTAATGGTATTTGGCGCAATTTCCATGCTGTGAAATGTTGGATAATAAGGTTATTTAAATAAACACATTTTAATCTGGCTGTAATGAGGGCAGTCCTCTAAGTGTTTCTCCCTTTGGTGCAGGATACTTGTTAGAAATTAGTTGTCTTGGTTTGATGCTGTCTTCGTAATGAAAACAAGACAGTTAAAGTCAGAATAGAGAGAGATGTGTTGCCAGTCTTTGGCACATGATGACAAATTGTCCATCTAAATTGTATAAATTAGAAAGTCTGAAGCCTCTGCTCCTTTAATAATAAGCTTAGAATGTAAAGGTGTAACTGAATGCATCTGATAAAAGTACAAAGACATCCAGGTGACTGTATGTGGGACTTGTCTAGTGTGGTCATTTCCATCATCAGTCTGATAAGAAGGGCTGTTCTTGATGCATATCTTGTTCCCTACATTAGTAGCTCCTGCCTCTTGTCATTTCTCTACACTTCAAACACATCCTACGAACAGGCTCCATAAATATTTCATGCTAATATGTGGTGTGCATCAACAGCAATAAGTTAATAGCAGAGTGTTTTGCTGCTTGTCGTTGTACTCTGCTCACTAGAGGTAATACACAATGAACAAACTTCAAATGAAAAACGATTTATTTTTTTTTTTCCTTCTTACAGGGGACAGTAATAAGAGTGTTTTCCATTCCAGAGGGACAGAAACTCTTTGAATTCCGAAGGGGAGTGAAGAGGTAAAGTTCAACTGGGCTAACTATCTGAAGCTCCTTCCTTACAGTAGATCTCCAGTATGCTCTGCAATTGAGCTGGTATCCTGATTTTGCCCGTTTTCATCTTTGTTTGTCCCTGTCTGTACGCTTATGACAGTTTCAGCTTGAATGTCTTCCAGTTTCACTCTATTGGACTTGTCTATTGTACAGATCAATCCTGTCAGAATTGTACTCCTTCTTGCCTTTTTAAAAATGTATTGGTGAGGGAACTTGTTTAAAGTGAGTTACCTTTTTTGAGATATATTGTGTTCTTGTGGCAGTTGAAGGCGGTACATCTAATGTTCTTGCTCTCTTCTAAATCCTTCCAGTGCTGTGATCCTTGATAGCCATTGTGAAATGGTACTGTGATTTGTGGTAGCAGTAACTCTGTAGTTCTGCTGTACTTTATACAGAGATAAGACTTGAGTTCAGACTGTTACTAATTGACCCTGGTATCTGGTATACATCAGAGCTGAACATCATTAATCAGGCTCTTGCTCTTGAAGTGCTTAAAGAAGGTATTGGAGACTTCAGAATGCTTATTATGGAAATGTTCTTTTTTCTGATTTGTGAAGCAGTGGTGACTGAGAAATCTGCTTAATTATTAATTAAGCCAAATACTTTGGCTTAATTGTTAGTCACGTGCAGTCGCTGACAGAAGAGCAGGGGAGTCTACCATGCAGCCACAGTTCCTCCCAGCTCTCTCAGTACAGCTTGTGTGAACGTTACGCAGCTCCTTAACAGTGAACGTGCAGAAAGACTTCTACCTACCAAAATGGAGAAATAATATTCTCGTTTAAGTCAGTTCCCAAGAGTTAGTGAACACTAGCTTTCTTCTTACACTAGTTGGTGCAGTACTAAAATCTGAAAAATAACGTTTCATTGTTTTCCCTTTTTTTTCCCCGCCCCCTAGGTGTGTGAGCATCTGTTCTCTGGCTTTCAGCATGGATGGCATGTTTCTGTCTGCATCCAGTAACACAGAGACGGTGCATATCTTCAAACTTGAGACTGTGAAAGAAAAGTAGGTTTCAGAGCTGCCTTAGATTTTTCAAGGAAAAGGCTTTAAAATTGATTATACTCAGCAGGATGAGTTCTCCAAAGTCTGGACAGCCTTCTTTTGAACGCTTCTGTAAAGTGAAGGGCAGGCGAAGTCGTGTATGAATCAGCAGCTGCAGCTGAGCTGCGTACTGTTCTCGCAGTGAATAGAAAAGGTGTTTCTGCTGAAGGGAAATTGGCTGTCCTTGGCAGAGGAATGTGGAGCAGTTTAACATTTGCAGTTACATATGTGTTTCACCTCTTCTTGACATCCATACGGGAAAAGCTGTCTAAGCAATGCCTTCCAGCTGCCTGTAGGGCTTGAAAAGGCACCACATTATAAAATGTTCCTATCTATGATTTGAGAGGACGGTCTTAGATTTCTGTGGAAGGTGTTGGAAACAATGATTTGCTTAGTGATAAACAGGTGAATAAAGTCTTGAAGCATAGTACTTTCCAGTTGATCTTGCCCTTGTATAATGAGCCTTATGAAATGCAGTTTTATAAGTGGAAGTATGAGTTTACAATCAAACATGCTTAAATAACAGGCTGAGGGTATTGTAGGATACGTTGTGCCCTGCAGCATAAACGGAGTGCATTAGAGTTCTCAAGGGTATTAGTTATTTCTGAAGAGAAACAAATAGCTGCTGAATATCTTTAAAAGTAAAAAGGTGTTTCAAAGTGTTTATACACCTTTCTTCCTAACGTGAAGGCGAAGTCAGTCACTTTTTTCTTCTGACTTGTAGACCTCAGGAAGAGCCTACAACCTGGACAGGTTACTTTGGAAAAGTGCTGATGGCATCAACAAGCTATCTGCCCTCTCAAGTAACAGAAATGTTCAACCAGGGTAGAGCCTTTGCTACAGTCCGCCTGCCGTTCTGTGGGCACAAAAACATCTGTGCGCTTGCCACGTGAGTAAAGAAATGGAGCCTGCATTCACCACCGTTGTAGAACATGGCCTCATCTCCAGCCGAGCGGGTAGTACGCGGAGCAGCAGATCGCCTGTATTCATTTCAAAGCCTCTTGCAGTTTAAGAGTGATGTGTTAGAGCTAACACCTCACAGCCCTGCGAGGGGGGTAGGAATAGGCACGATATTTGGATGAGAATAGACTATTTCTGAGTGTTGTTTAAAGATGTCTCTTAATTTTGAAGGAAGGATGTTGAGAACAGACCCGTGGGCTTATGGCACTTGCTTCAGATAGTGCTAGGGGGAGTGATACTGCATGTTGTGTTAGTGAACTGCAAAATTAGGCAATCCAGACTAACCATTAATAAAGTCTGTGAAAGCCAGTTCATATTGTCTCTAAAACAGCATAGCATTGATTAGATTTAATCCTCAAAATTAACTTTAATCTTTATTCTGCCTTCACCAAAGGCAGGTCCCATTTGGCACAGCTGCCAAAGCAATAAGCTGAGTGCTAGTAAGCTTATTTTGTGGAGGTTTTATAGCTTTTGTGCTAAATTGACTTCACATCTGTACTCTTGCTGTTCTGATCTTAACGCACCCTTTAAGCAATAGTTAAGCCTTGTAACACTTCTGAAACAACTAAATACTTCCCGTTAGAATATTTGTGTCTGGAGTTGCACAAAGCTTGGTAACAGGATGGTAACTTCCGAATCTGTTTTACTGGTCGTAGAGAAGTTGCTCGAGTCCTGTGGCATCCCATTAGTCCCAAAGTGTGGTTATGCCTTCATTTTTTGCACACAGTTCATTCGTAGGTGCTCTGACTGTTAACGGTGTTCCCTGCCTAGGAGCAAGAGCGTGGAAGATAATCGCTTAAAGTCAGGGGACGTGGGGAGAGTGTGCTTTCTGAAGTTCTTACTGATCTGTTGCTCTCCCTTAAACCTTTCTAGAATCCAGAAGATCCCTCGTTTATTGGTGGGAGCTGCTGATGGGTATCTCTACATGTACAACCTAGACCCCCAAGAAGGAGGAGAGTGCACACTAATGAAGCAGCACAAGTAAGTCCGTATTAGCTGAGAACGGTTGTATTCTATTTCACGAAATCCAGTTTGTTCTTAAATTTACTTCTGTTTTGCAGAAGTCTAAGTTAGTTTAGAGAAATGAGCTGTTCTAATCTTTTTCCAGACCTCTGACATGAACAAGTAATTTCAGAATCCCCCTGTGCCTTGCTTCCTAGTATCTACTACACTAAGCACCACTTCACCAGCAGAAACTTAACACTGTCTGATTGCAGTGAAGGATCAATCGCCGTTTGCTGTGTGATCCTGTTCCTCTTACTTGGCAGTTTGAGTGGAGTTACTTAAACAAGAACTTGAAACGGCTGACACCATCCTCTTCATCAATAAATGAAGCAGTTACAGGCACGAGAAAGAGATGTTAACTGTGACTTCACAGAGGGGAATCTGGCCTATGAGATTACCTGTATTCTCTCTCTACAGATGTCCTTATTAAACTTCCTTGCATATAGGCCAGCCAGCTAATGTTCTGTAGCAGTACTGCAGAACACTTACAGAAATTACGACAAGGCGTTGTTCTTTTTTAGTAAGGTTTGGCAGGAAAAGCTAGGGTAATATAGTCCGATTACTTACATGATCAATCATAGAATTAAAGCCAGTAACTCATGATGATAATTCAGGTTTGCAGCTTTGCTCCATCTGTAATACTGGGCAAGAGGCCTACATTTATCTGAACATTTTAAGGTATGACCTCTGGCTTCACTTGTAGATGAAATGAAGTCTCAGAGAGGGAAGCGTTTATAAAGTTCTTAATCGCTGAGCTGCTCTAATAACCTTCACTAGAGGGGTTTCTATTATATGTACACAAAGCAACCACTTCTGTTTTGGACAGAGCTCAAGAGACAATTTATAAGGTTGCTGGTTGGAATGGTTGTTATTTTTTTAGTCACGCACTCTTGGTTTGAGTCTCTCTTCCTAGTATCAGCTACTAGGATTTAGATCCTGATGCTGTGTCAGAGGCAAGCATGTTGCTGATGAGTCTTCAGTGTTAAATATGAAGTGTTGTCAGATGCCTTCTTGACAGTTCTCTGGAACAGAGGGACCAAGTTCCTCCTGTTGCATGTATCTGTGTATTTATTCTTGCACATCTAAAGAGATATTCTTGTGTAGCTGTCGCCTGAAGTTGTTTTCTGCCCAGGTGGGTCACCTCTCCAGCTAATCTCTCTCTGCTTGGTAGGCTCGATGGCAGTATGGAGCCAGCCAACGAAATTCTAGAGTCTGCATCCCACGACCGGCCATTGGTAGCACAGACGTACAGTGCTGCTGTCACTAAAGGTACATACGTGCCTTCCTCACCCACAAGGCATGGTAAGGAGAAGGCTGGAAACGGGGCAGAGAGCACCTCTGCGTATTGCTTCATTCTAGATGGCTGTGTGAGCTCGTCTACTTCAACACTGAGCTTTTCCTAACTGCGGGTGTGATGTGGAGCATTGGTGAGCAGTAGGAAAAGAGCACTTGTGATGTACAGTAGCCTCCTGTAGATGGATCACTCAGCTTTGCTACTTTCTGAGTAGAACTTTTACTCAAATTGTGGTTGATTACTGTAGTGATAGTTCCAGTACTTGCCAAATGATTCTTGAGATGCCCTAACACAATTAGTTCATACAGGAGTTCTGCACCCAGACCTCATACAAAGCATCTGAATTATAGCCACTCTTTTTTTAGCAGGGATAAGTGCTCCTATCATTCCTTTATGGGAGCAGTGACCTTTTAGCCTGATTTGTTGCTCTGTAAAATTGAGAGGATGAGAATTTGCTTAATGCTGCAGCTCTCTGTGTGGAGCTTTTACCATCTTTATATGGCACTCAGGTCAGTGCTTCAACTGCAGGGGAAGGATGGTTTGTATAGCATCAGTACTGCAGTTGCAGCTCTAAGCATGGATGGAGATTAAGAAAAACAGCAGCCTGCCCAAAGCACCAGTACGTGTTGCACATGCAGAGAGTAGTTTAATTTTGATCATAAACCGGTCTTGGCTTAGAGAACGGCAGTCATGATAAAAGCAAACATAGGGTGGCAGTGGAACCATTGCAAGTCATGCCTGGTACTTCAGCTCTGAGCATTCACTTTGGATCCAACCTCAGTTAGTGCTGCTCATCCCCCAACTACTTGTTCCTTTCTCTGCAGCCTATACGGATGACCTGGGTGCCGTGGGTGGAGCTTGCCTGGAAGATGAAACCAGCTCCCTTAGATTGGATGAAGACAGTGAGCATCCCCCCATGATCCTTCGGACAGACTGAACTTTGACCTGTGAACTCACTCCTGAAGCAGAGAACACTGGCTCGATGTTTCCTGAGGAATCTCGTGTTATGCTGCTATGAACTTTGACAAGAGTTGGGAGAGAGGATGACAGACTCTTACAGTTTTAAGTCGTAGCTGTAGTTCTAATTCAATACAATTGGAAAAATATATGGTTTTCAATTCAGTGGCTTTTAATCTTGCTTATCTATTTTAGCTGTGTTTTTTTTTTTTGTTGCCAAAACCTGCTGTTTGTGCAGCCCTCGGAGCCTACTAGCTTTGCATGCGTTCATGTGCCAAGCAAGCATAGGAGAGGGGGAGAGAGAGAGAGAAGCCACTTTATAACAGACACAAGTTTGTATTTTTTTTATATATGTATATAATATTTAGCTTATATAAGGAAGGAGTAGAGAAGTGGTTCTGGAAGCTAAGACTAGTTCTGCACTGACAAAGGTCCAAATGGTTTCCTGTGCATGGGCTTGCAGGCATACCTAGTGACTGACATGCAACCTTTCAAATGCAATGGCCTGTTTTTGGGGTTCTCCCTCCCCTTTCCTGGACCATTTTGTTAATTAAAATTCCTTCTGAATGTTGTGTATTTGTGGGACTGTTCTGTTTGTTGGGATAGAGAACTGGAAGAGCTTCCCTGCATAAGGATGTAGAATACAGAAAGTGCCTTTACAGGGAAGACAAGGAATTGCTGCAGGAAGAAAGCTCGGATGAAGGAGGAGTTGCTAGAGACTCTTGTACACCTTTAGTGTTTGGGTGTCTGTAGCCCATAGTGGCTGATAAGCTTGTGGGTGTTTTTTAGAGAAGACTTGGAATGCACTTTTTCTCTCCTGTAGATTGTCTTATTTCCTTGGCAGAGTAGCAATAACTTTTTTTATACTACTTTAAATTATCCAAAGCAAGGATTCTGTCAGGCTGGATGGAAGTCGTTGTAGAGCATGGCAGCCCCCCTCCTTTCAAGAGCCGTAAGACTTTCGGGTGGAAGGCATAGCTCTCAACTCTTGCTTCTCTTCAGTCTGGGGCTGGGTGTACTGCTTGAGTAGTGAAGGTCCATGGTTATTTTTTTTTTCCAGATACAGATGTAAATATAAATGATTTTGAAAGATGAATTTTCTTCTGGGTTCTCTTCTGCTGGATAACAGTGCTTTTGTAGGGTTTTTTTTATTTCCCCTTTCATCAGAGTACCTCTTGTGATTACACTCCAAGGACTGGTTGTCTCTTTGGCAGTTTTGGAATAAATCCTTAACTACCCTGACCCTGCCTAGGGCTTTCCAAGGCTGATCAGTGCTGCAGACTATTTTTAGGGTTGTAACGTGCCTTCTCTTAAGTCTTGGATAATAGTTAGTGAGCAAGTGATTAGAAAAGGACTTGGTGAGTGTTACTTTTCTTTGCCAAAAGGAACCTGCTTTGCCTTTTGTGTAGCGATGTGGATTGCTTCCTTCCCCTCTACTGACTGCTTGCAAAGAAGCAAAAACAGACAAGGAATTTGCAGATCTTGACAGGAGGACAGAAGCTGAGTGCTCCAGCTACGTGTGAACTCCCTGCCACAACTAGACAGGGATGTGCTTTTAGGATTTGGTACTGCTAACAAGCCTTTTCTCAAGCAGGAGCAGGCAGTAGTCTTTGTCCCCGAAGCCCTGTGTGGGCAGGTGGGCTTCCCCTTCCTCTGAAGGTGCAGAAGATGGTGGTAGCCCCTGCCAAGAGAGCTGCCTGTATCGGTGAGGCTACTGTTAGTCTGTGTGTGTGGAAGATGTTCTTAAAGGAGCACATGTGGGAGAGAAGGGATCAGGCTTGTTTATTCACTCAAAACTCTTGACTGTCCTGAGTAGTTGGCTGGGACGGCTTGTGGTGTCCTCTCCAGAACCCAGCATGTTCAAAGCAAACCACTGAGCCATGCTGAAATCTTGCCTAGTCTCTTGACTTTAAGCTTTGGCTGACAACTAAATTCCATGGTCTGGATTTTTTTTTTTTTTTTTTTTTTCTGCAAGTGCTGTAAGCTTTGCTGTGGAACTCAGAACTGCAGAGTAAAATACAAGTCTTGAAGTAAATACAAGCTTGGTGAGCTTTGCTGGCAAACTGAACCGCCGAGGAGCTGCCGGATGTCTGCTCGTTCCAGCCTGAAGCTGGTGACATTCCTGGTAACACACTTGGAGGCTTGGCGTAGACTCCGCAAGTCGAGTTAGCAGTCAGCGCGCGTAAGCAACGCAGGTCTGCTAAACACACAAGTTTTACAACTCGAGTGTAACAAAGGCCGTGTTACATAGTAAGATACACCAGTTAATGTAATTACTAACTTTTGCTGCTAAGAATTGAGAACATTTATAGTACTGATCTTATCCTCTTCTTAACTTTCACACCTTCTCTTCCACAGGTGAGTTGGAGATCCCATATTCACTGTATTTTTGTCTTCCGTACGCTGTAGTACGCTTCCGAGCCACACGCTGCTGTTGAGTCACTCTGTCCTGCTTGGTTCACTCTTAAGTAGAAGCTGGAAGCCAGTTAAAGTATATTCTCTTTGTTGTTGTAACTGGGAAAACCTTTTTGGAGAGCAGAAGTGTTACTGTTTGGGGGTTGGTGACCAGCATGGAGGTAGGTGGAGGAGGTGGTTTCTGGTCCCCACTGACAGTGCATTAAAGAGTGGTGGCAGTAGTTTGTCTTAAGTTCATTGCATGAGGATATAAACTTTTTCTCAGATAAAATACGACTGATATTTCCCACTGATGGCGTTAGGCCCTCAGTAACCACCCTGTTGTGGTATGCTACCAAAGTTTGAAGCCTTTCAGGTTGGGATGAAACCCAATGATACAAAGATATTTGGGTTTTTGTTTTTTTTTTCCTCAGGCATATCAGAAATGCTGTTTGCGGCTGCGTCCTCACCTGAGTGTGGAGCATATGATTGCACTGTTATGCTCTGTGGATCAGGTGGTGTCTCAGCATTTCTATTCTGGTGATCTAACAGCCCTGGATGCCCCAGGGTAAGCCAGGGAGGCTCTAGCCCTGTGCTGTGGCCATGGGCTTGTAGTCATGCGATATGGGAACGCCTATACTGCGCCTCTCGTTTTAGACTGACCTTCCTTGGAAGGACGCTGTTTGTTCTGCGGCAGTGTGTCCCTCTAGATGCGGACTGCCCTGCTTGATAGCTTTTAAACTCAGTAGAGGGTTGGGGGTAGAGATAAACAACTGAAACAACCAAAGCTGGGGAGGGGGGAATGCTTACAAACTTGGAATCCTAAACTCAGGCCTTAGATTGCAGTGGGATCTGTTCCCAGTGAGTACCGTAGGGAAGGAGCTGTTTCTCTTGATGTGCAAATAGGTAGCAAGTGTACGTTCTCCACTGCTGTCTCGACATCTGTCTGTTTCTCCTACTTTGTATTCCTGGTTCTGAGGCAGAAAGCTTTTATCTGCTCCGGACTCTTCTTATGTCGCTGTTTCCAAAATACAAGTGATAGATAGAGATCTAGCAGTTAGAAGGCTGGGCCTGGCAGAGGAGGAGGAAGTAAAAAGCATGAAGAGGTTGGTAAAAGCGGTTTCTTCTGAGGCCCAGTTCAGCAAGACATTTTGTGGCAGTGCTCCCTCGGGGATCCCACGTGCGTGTGTCCCTTGGTGCTTCAGGTCCAACGCAGGGGAGTTTCTCAGGCCTGTTTCTGCAGGGGGTGGAGGTAGAGGTGGTGGCTTTTCACGTGTGCTTGAATGCAAATAAATATCCGAGGAGGCTGTTCATGCAGAGGTGGCAGAGGGGATGTGCATCTGACCTGTGCGGAGTAGTGTAGAGGGGGGGATGAGATGAACTGAAGAGCCGCCAGCTCGGTGGGTGGGTTAGCGTGGAGCCCCGAGAAGCTGATCAGGGAGATCAGCTCTGTTACACCCCGTGCTGTGCTTTCCCGGCTCTGCGAAGGGCATCGGCACCAAAGCAACGTGCAGCAAGACGGTAGAACTGCTTTCCTTGTAGGTCGCTGAGCTATTCAGTGTACCCCTTGTGTGTGCAGATGTTTGGCCGCTGTTTGCAGAGCGACGGGAGTCTTTGTCCAGAGCCTTGGTGGGAATTAATCACTGCAGAGGTTTGGGAAGTTTTGTTCTGTGCTCCAGTTGTCCTGGCTGACGGTTGCCTTGGTTTAACCTGTTAACATCTGAGAGCAAGGCAGGGTGTCTTCTCCACATGTGCAGAGCAGGCCTTTGTTTTTCTGGCGTCTGTGCTGCACCGTGAAAGGCTTGCAATGGAGAAAGCATGGCTCTGACTGTACATAAACCCTCCCAGACTCCAGTTGCACAACCAGAGGAATTAGGCACATTCCTGTTTTTCTAACCGTAACATGCCTTCATTTTAACACACTTCAAATTGCCAGATCTCATCTTACTCTGCCTCGAAAAAAGTGGACAAGAAGTTTCTATTCCGGCTTGCAGATAGCTGCAGTTGTGCTCGCTACAGATGTCTCGGTGCTGTGGCTTTGACGCTGCAGCCGCAGCGAGCTGGGTGCTGCCTGCCCCTGCGCTGCCTTTGCACGTGTCCAGCTCGTTTCTCAGGAGTGGGGACTTCACAAAATCACAGAATGGTAGGGGTTGGAAGGGAGCTCTGTCGGTCATCCAGTCCAACCCTCCTGCCGAAGCAAGGTCACCTGCTCTGGGTTTCTAGGGGGCGTTGACTCAACCCTTTTGTCTGCCTGGATCTATTTGCTCTTGCATTTGCTCCCTCACCTGGAAGAAACCCTGCATCCTGCAGTGCTGGCTTGCTCTGTGCGGTATCTGTGTCGATGAGTGGGAAAATCTGTCTTAACATTCCACCTCGCCAAGTGTCTGGCTCTCACTGCTAGCCCGTCATCGCTCTTTGTAATTTTATAACTGCCTAAGAAATTAAATCTGTGTTGTGATAAGTATTCTGTGTCCATTTCCTTTTGTTTGCTGCTTGGAGATGGGGCCGGATAAGATCAGGGTGTCAAGTGTTCTGTACTCGGTGGCCCGAACCCAAACGCCAGCAGTAATGAGCCCTCAGTCCTAGCTGTGCTTTGTAGCTGCTCTCGGCAGACACTGTCAGCTTGGGTTTTGCAGGGTCTGGGAAAGGACAATCTCAGTTTCTCCTGCGCATTTTGCTTGCAAATATAATTTTCCTTGTTCATCCTTAAAGCTGCTCTTGAGGGACTGGCGTTGATGAGTTTTTCTCCTGCTCCTCAGGTGAGTTTGGATAACGTCCTTTCTTCTTTCTTTTAATGACTTGCTTCTGAAGCAGCGCTTTCGAGTACGCGCCCTGCTCACCGTGCTGTCACTCGCCGTGCTGTCACTCCAAGCTTGTTGCTTCTCGCCTTCAAGCCCAGGAGGAAGATCTGGAGCACGCCCACGTGGATGGATGAGGAGGCATCTCCTGCTTCTGTATGTATCCTCCCCTTCGCAAAGCCACAGCAAACGCTTTGATCGGGGTGGGCGAGAGGAGAAAAAGCCTCTTGGCTCTCGCTAGCAATGATGGAGCGTGCGGTGCTGAGACTCACCTTGTTCTCCTGTGCGACTGTTTCGTAGCGAGGCCTCGGCTGTGAAGCTGCAGGTGTCTCCTCTCCTGATCTAGCTCTGGAGGGCGTTGTCCTGTCTGCGTGTCTCCGTTTG